GATTTCAAACACTTTCAAACAACACCAGGATTTCAACCATTTGCATAATGGATTTCAAGCACTATCAAAGACGCCCTTATTATGAGGCAATGATTTAACACAGAAATGGAGTGCAAAGACTTCAGAAACAACACATAATAAACATCTGAAAACTAAGCTGCAGAATAGGAAGCAAAAACACATCATACCTAAACCTCTATGGTTTCAATGAATGGATTGAATTAAAATTACCTCAAGAATGATGTTCCAAGGTCTTGCAGGTTGACGCGTTCCTATATATGTAAAATGATCGTTTAGTTGCATTAATAGAAACAAAGAACAAAAATTGACTTGGTCATTATATCCAAGTCTAAAAAAACAAAACAATTCAAATCCATTAGAAACATAGAATACTTTAAATCTCCCAACTTTGAAAAATTGATGTTAAATTGTAAATTATCTTGTTTTAGGTTCAGGAAACGTGGGAAAAGAATTGTGTATACCCAACCATTCTAACCCATTTGCATAATGGATTTCAAGAGTCCAACACTCACTCCTAACCTTTACCAGAGTCCAACACTCACTCCTAACCTTTACCAGAGTCCAACACTCACTCCTTACTTTATAGCCTTGAAATTTAAAAAATCACATGGCACACCTCTCATTTTTCAGTTTCAAACAGGATTGCAAAGACGTAAAAACAGGTCATAATTTAAAAACTGCTAAAAAATGTATTCTTTATAGTCAAAACCTTGCAAGTTATTATGCAGAATGTTCAAAGGAAGTAATGTGAGCAGAATACACATCTGAATTTGAGCACTCTTGAATACATGGAATTTAAAATACCTGAAGAATAATTTTCGAAACTGTTGCAGGTTCAGCCCTACCTGTAGGTGAAAAATGACCCTTCTTTCAGTAATAGAAACAAACAACAAAGAGAAGAACAAGCCAAAGAACTCATAAGATTATACTTAGGAGGAGTCTTGGAGATGGTGTCTCATCCCATCTCCCAAAATCGAATATAAATAGCCCAACGTACATGCTGAAATAATTGGCAGGGGATTATTAAGGGAGGGATCCATAAATACAAGACGAGGAATCAGAGAAGACGTTTCAATCATACCAGGAAATTTGCACATATGATACGCAACGCCTAGAATCTAGAAATCTGAGGTTGATAGTATTTAGAACCACAACAATTTGATAGTATTTAGAACCACAACAAAAAACAAGACAGTAAAACGCAATTGCCTTAACTCAAAACACGACCTAGAGTCTAACCTAAAAATTAAAATCCAACGGATTGTACCCGCAAACCTAACGCAAATTTGATTCTCAAACACTAAAGTTAAAAGTCAACCTAGAACCTAACCCAAAACCAAACCCAAAATCAGGTCCAATCCCCAAAGTAAGAAACAAAATCCCTATCCAGAACCTAACCCAACAACCAATTGCAGGGGTGCATTAAGCTATTCCCATGTTAAAAATGTGTGAATAAGTACAAAAGGAATGAATATGACATTAACAGGCTTTAAGAATGAAGACTAACCATTGGGTGTGGCGTTTGACATGGTAAATATAGCCAGTTTAGTGGAATTTGAATGTCACATGGCCTTAAGCACCTATTTGTAATAGTGTGGTTTTGATTAGAGTGCAGCAGTTCATATTAAGCCAATTGTTTTTGGGAGATATCCGACAAAAAGAGGAAAACCAATACCGGTACATGGTGAAATTTCCTTTTTGTTGATCGGTGGAGGCGTTGAAATTTCCATTTTGTTGAAAGCACCGCCAAGCTCCAGCCAATAAACAAGACTCGGCATGAACCCTGTCACCAAATAGGACATGAAAGAGGTTAATAAATAGGAAAATCTCTTACCAAGGTGAATATTGTCAAATTGACTCTCCATCCAAGTATATATGTACAGTAATATTTTTGTTATTGTGTTGTGTTTAAATTTTAACGTGGTGGAAGTCATCTACTAAAAAATAAATTTTCTACTACGTTTCTTGACCTTTTGGATAAATAAACATTACCATTGAAGGGAGTGACAATCACCCTTTTACCCAAAATTATTGGGTGTCGCCCACTCTCTAAAAGGGATGTTATATCCCGGCCTTGATTCATTGGGAAATCTTCCCAAAGAGTCAACACAACTGGTTTCATTCTTTTTAAGATGAAAGTTAAAATGTTTGATATACACAATGTTAAGTAATTAGAATAACTATGTCATACTTACTTCATTCACAAGCATGAAATCATGTGCGGTTTTGGCATGTCCAGGAACGGAGACATACTCTCTCGGTGAATCACAATGGCCATGAAATCTAAATGTAGCAAACATAAAAAAAAGTTTACATGTCACATCATTGTGATTTTCCGTATTATGTTAATGAATACTAATATTATTCACATACTGATTGGGGTTTTAGAACCGCATAAGTCATATAAGTCAAAGAATTGTGTGAGGATAGTGTCTGTCTCATTTGTTCCCTGAATTTGTTCTGATTTTGGGGCTGCCTCAATCCAAGTCTTTTTACTCAACATCTAAATGTAATTATAGTTTGCGGATTGGGGATCACCACTATACTTGGTTAGGCATGGCAGCAGCATTGCTTATGTAGTACGTGTTTTTGAGGCTGAGTATCTTATCACTTTGTTCAATGTCACCACTATTTGCGAGAGCAAGAACCTTGGTACCCTGTACAGAAATGGTTGAATGGAACATAATTAGTGCATGTAATATGTACGCTCTAAGATTGATTATTTTATAAGCTTTATAAGCTTACCTCCTCATCCTGCAATATAAAAGGTCTGTACTTGTTAGGGCTCATCCTTGAGTCTTTGATGTTCCGTTTCTCCACAACTCTAACCTTACATGTCCATTCCTTTTTGTTATTTATTCCACTGATCATTCCACCTTACATGTCCATTCCTTTTTGTTGTCATTTGACTTTAGGATTAAGAGTTTGGGTCTATCTTTGCGATTGGGTTTTGTATCTGGGTTGTCGGGTCACTAAAATTAATAATTTAAGGCTGGGTTTTGGTGCTGGTTTTTGGAGCTCGTTGGTTGGGTTTTGAGTTTTGGGTTTAGACTTTGGGTTTGTTTTCGTGTCGGGTCACAAAAATTAAAACTAAAAGATCGTTGAAGGAAGACACATATTATGAACCTAGGTATTACACCACAACCTAATATGATAAAATAAATTGGAAATTGAGAAAGTTAAACATAGTTCAGAACAAAAAATGATTTATGATTTTAGATTTTTAACCAATAAATGGAGTTCAAAGACTGTGTGTTCATACCCTTATGTAGAATCTGGGTTAGGTTTTGGCGTTTGTGTTTGGCACTGGTTTTTGGGCCTGGGTTTTGGGTAGACTCTAGGTTGGGTTATAGAGTTTGGGATTGTTTTTGAGTCTGCGACTTTGGGTTTACTATCCGGGTTTTGGGTCTGGTGCTTTGGGCTGGTTTTTGGAAGAATGATGTTCCAAGTTCTTGCGGATTTAGGCATATCTGTAATTAAAAAATGTTTTTTCTTTACTTCTTAATTTATAGCCTCGAAATTTAAAAAATCAAATTGTACAGCTCTCATATTTGAATAAACCAGATTGTCCTATTCTTTAGATGCTTTAGAGTTTAAAATTTACAACTTGGAACTTTATACATTCTAAAGAGCAGTTTGAAATTGCTACTGTATTTTTTTTCACATCTCTAAACATGCTGGTTGAATATTTTTAAATGTGATATGGTCATTATATCCAAGTCTAAAAAAACAAAACAATTCAAATCCATTAGAAACATAGAATACTTTAAATCTCCCAACTTTGAAAAATTGATGTTAAATTGTAAGTTATCTTGTTTTAGGTTCAGGAAACGTGGGAAAAGAATTGTGTATACCCAACCATTCTAACCCATTTGCATAATGGATTTCAAGAGTCCAACACTCACTCCTAACCTTTACCAGAGTCCAACACTCACTCCTTACTTTATAGCCTTGAAATTTAAAAAATCACATGGCACACCTCTCATTTTTCAGTTTCAAACAGGATTGCAAAGACGTAAAAACAGGTCATAATTTAAAAACTGCTAGAAAATGTATTCTTTAGAGTCAAAACCTTGCAAGTTATTATGCAGAATGTTCAAAGGAAGTAATGTGAGCAGAATACACATCTGAATTTGAGCACTCTTGAATAC